ACCCCTACATTTCTTGCTGACTGAACACCCCCGGTCATTCATGAAAAATAGATAGTCCACATTTTGTGAAAGAATGTCTTAGAGAGAATTCGCTCCAAAGCCTGCCTGCATTTTATAGACAAACAGGCTCCGAAACTCTGCTACCCAGGCAGCACGGCAAGACTGGTCACACTGTTCAGAATGCTACAAACTCCAGAAGACTGCCCTTCCTGGGCCAGAACCCACGGGGTGGGGGAGGGGGGCCACACACGACACGAAAAACATTCTCTGGCCTCTGAAAGCTGGCTAGCGCTATAGTCGGCAGTTCCCCCAGGCACTATGGGGTGCAGAGATGGCCGGAAAAGCCTCCTTCTCTCAGCCCCCACTGGCTCCACTACAAAAGCTGTCACTCCTGTAAGTGGGCATTTTAGGTAACCACACAGAGACAAGTCTGCTTTGGTTTCAGTTTTTTAAATTAAGAGCTGTGGTGTTTGGCAGAATGTGGTTTCTTTCTGGCAGACCCATACACGTGCTTCTGTTTTGTGTGTCTAATGCTTTTAAAAAGCCAGACCGTTGTCCAGGTCCGTTTTCTTCATCATTTGGACAGTGTTCCCAGATACGAGCCTCACAGAGAATGTCTTTGTTCACATGGGAGCAGTTTTCCACTCTCCATTCCCTCATCTAGCAGCCCCTATCCAGCGAGGATCTCAGCCAGCGTGTTCAAATCACACCCGCAGAAGGCAGCAGCATTGCTGGCCGGTGAAACCTCCCTATCGCTAACATATGGGGGCCGCTTCTTTTGTTTCCCGTGTTTTGGCAGCCAGAGAAGCGCCATTTCGTCTCTCAGTGTGTTTTGCCTTCACAAGAAAAGTCAATCAAGGGCTTAGTGTGCTGCCTGCCACTGGTTTCTGGCTGCTGGCCAGTTCCTCTTCCCTCCTCTATGGCCCTCCCTGCCCTGAAGCAGCAATCTGGCTTCTCAAGCTGGAAGTTAGTACAAAGTGCAAGGAAGACACACAGCCACTGCAGCAATTCACAGGGAGATGGGGGCGTGCAATAGCAGGTGGCAGAGGGGCTTCAGAGTTTCCCGAGACCAGTGTGCGCTGCCTAGATTCACATCACCAGGCAGAGCAGGCCTAGAGGTGCCATTATGCCTCCCAGGCAGCCCAGGGCTCATATTTGCCCCAATGATCTGAACAGTAAAACCCAATTTCTTTTTATAGGATGATTTTTAATGAAATAGTTTCTTAGATCTTGAATTTTGCTATTTATAATTTCCCTTTTGTTATATGTATTCTTGTAAGCAATCGAGGACATTATAATAAAATTCACTATGAGTCAGGTGATGCTTTATGAAGTCTTTTAACTTAGCTGAATCATCTTAGCACTTCCTAGTGGCTTAGACAAAAGCAGCTGATTCCTCACAGTTCTAGAGGTTGGGGAGTTCATGATCAGGGCACTGGCTAATTTAGCTCGTTGGTGACAGTTCTCTCTTGCAATCCACGTCCTCCTTCGTACAGCAGACAGAAGGCAAGGGAACGTGCTGTCTTGGGTCATCCCTTTTAAGGATATGATGAAGGGCATTAAACAAAGGTCCTACATTTACACACTCATTTAACCTTATTTTGACCAATAGGTCCCATCTTCACTGTGCATTCACATGGTGCAGGGTCATATTAATTTGGGGTGTGTGTGTGTGTGTACAAAACTTAGCCCATAGCATGTAGATAAAGTGAAATTTAAAAATGAACAAATGGGTTAAGCAACATGTTAGAAATATCAATGGAGAAGAACAGAGAGCTAGAAGAAAGCTTAGTAGAAAAAAAACCAAAAAAGATAAAGAGACAAAGTTACTTGAATGAAATAAAATGAAAAGTTCTAGGATTCTTGTAACATGATCTTGGATCCTCTGTTTTGGGGTGGGGGGGGTGTTTCTTGTTTATTTGGTCATTTTTTTAAATTCCTTTTCTTCCCAATGCTAGAGATCAAACCACTCTACCACTGAGCTAAATCCCCAAAAACATAGCCTACAAAGGACATAAAAGTGACTGCAGGGCTGGGCAGCCTGTGACGGGATAATGACTAAGAATTTTCCGAACATAGTTTCAAGAACCTCAAGAAATGTGTTTGTAGAGTAACACTTCGTGGGTACAAATGGTTGAATTTCTGGAAAACCACAAACAGGGAATCTTGAAAATAGGTAGAACTAAACAAAACAAAACAGAAATTAACTTCAAAGAAGCAGCAATGAAACTAATGTCTGACTTCTCATAGGTTAGTTCTAAAGAGAACAAGAGTCACATCTTTAAGACGCTCAAAGAAAATACCTGCCGAGTTAAAATCCCATTGCATGAGAAATGTCCTTCACAACAGAAAGGATTGAAAGGCAAAAACAGAGAACATGTTGTCAACACACATTTCTAAAATAAATGCTAAAGACATGTTTTGTTTGTTTGTTTGTTGTCGTTGTTTTTGTTTTGGGGTTTTTTTGTGGCAAGATGTACAAGAAACCCTGAATGATGGCTGAAAGCTTAAATGTGTAAGGGATTCTCAGCAGGCACTGGCTGCTTCAAATGCTATAAATAATGTCCTGTGGTACTTATACTAGATAGAAAATTGATTTTAATAACATAATAATCACTGGTAGGCTGTAGAGTATTTTGCATTTATCTGGAAAAGTAAAAAATTCTAATTTATGTGAGGATTACATAAGTCTAGAATTTAGTATGCTGTCTAGCATTATGAAACGTCAAAAGAACTGCAGCCAACACAAATATAGATAAGAAAAATTAAATGATATAAATATTTGAGTAACACAAAACAATCCTGTACAGAAAAAGGAAATAGAGAACAAATATGACAAACAGAAAACCAACAATGAAACTTAAAACAATCAGTAAGTACATTAGCTGTAAATGGATGACTCTGGTTTAACAATATTGACAGGATCCACAAATAAAAGTCACTATATACTGCTTAAAAGAGACATATCTTGTATAGAATGATACAGAAAGAAAGGAAAAAGTGGAAAGATATCCCATGTGCATACTTTTGAATGAAAGTTGGCGTAGTTACATGACCATCAATCAAGTAGACTTTAAGATGAGAAGCATGACTATAAATAAGAAGGGACAGTTCATAAGAATGAAAGATTTAGTACCAGGAATGTATAACATGTCTATAACTGTATGCAGTTAACAACACAGTAAAAGAAAAAAAAAACAGCAGTGTTCAGTTATAGTGGGGGATTTCAGAAGATCTCTGTTGACAACTATGGAGCAAGAAAGAAAGGAAAGGAGAGAGGAAGGGAGGGAGGGAAGGAGAGAGAGAGGAGAGAGAGAGAGAGAGAGAGAGAGAGAGAAAGGGAACAATAAATTTGTTTTTTAAAAAGACCCTAAATGGCATAAAAACATTATAACCAACAACTACGGACTATAATTTATTTAAAAGTATACAAGAAATCTTGGTCTAAAATAACTACTTTGGGGGTCCACAAAATAAATTTTGCAAATTTCAAATGAAACAATAAGGAATACATGGATGTTTTTAACCACACGGCTGTAATAAGAGTGCATTTCATCCTGCTTGATATAAATGCAAGAATGGAGGAGCTGAAATGCTTGAAAACTGAGCAATACACTTTAAAATCTACTGGCCAATGGAGACAAACTACAATGGAAGTTAAGAGTGCTCCAAGTTAAACCATAATGAAGCTATAACAAATTTTAGTATACACTTATGACTTAATTTAACAAACACATTGCATGACTGCATATATTAAAATGAAGACTAAAACTAAGAGTCTAAAGAATTTAAAAAATAGTAAATTAACAAGAAAAAATAGCAAGGAGATAACAAGATGAAGACAAATTAATAAAACAGGAATCAAAAACACATTAGAGAAAACAACAAAGGCAGAAATTTGTTATCTGAAAGCAGTAATAATGTTGTTATACCTCAGGCAGGAGAGGAAATTAGTTACTCATATTACCTCATATCTTAAGAGGCTTTAAATAAAGGTGAAATGATGTTGCAAAAGCTCCTAAGTCCAAAATTTTACATGAATGGATGCTGTCCTAAAAAGTTAGTCTATGAAAACCGAAAGAAGAATTAGAGAACAAATGATTAACTGCCCTAGATCTCATAGAGGTCTGCCTGCCCACCAAGTGCTGAGTCTCCATGGTAGCCTAAAACCTTCTCTTAAGGAAACCTTCAAGCCAAGATTACCTCACTAATGAAGCTCCCAAACACTGAAAGATATTCTTGACATGCTGAAAGAAAGAAGATTCTTACCAGTTCATTTTATGAACTCAGCAAGGTTCTGTTTCCAAAACTCAAAGACGACATCATGATAAAGGAAAATTACAGTTGTTTGGTGTCAGCTAAAGAGTTCTTGTTCTCCACATGACTTATAAAATGTGTTTATTCATTGACTAGAGGAGGTGACACTGAACCATTCTCAAATAATTGGTCAAGCTCTCCTTGGTTCCCAAACAGACTAGAATTTTCTGGCTAATGATTTGCCACTTTGAACTGAGTCTTGTCTTTTTCTTTTTTAATTAATTAATTATTTAGTTTATTTTATTTCATGTGTATGTGTGTATTGCCTGAATGTAGGTAGGTGCACTGTGTCGTGCAATACCCACAGAGATTAGAAGATAGTGTTGGATCCCCTGAAACTGGAATTACAGATGGTTGTTTGCCGCTATGTAGGTGCTGGGAATCAAAATTGGGTCCGCTGCAAGTGCAGCTAATGCTCTTACCTGCCCAGCCATCTCTGTGGTCTTATCTTTGTCATTGTTTTACATCTTTGACAATGACTATTCTGTCTGCTTTGACATTACACCTCTGGACTTTGGTAAGGCAAACCACTCTCCTCTGTTAAAAGGGGGGCTGCAGGAGACACATCTCGGCTATTGCATGACTTTGCTTAAAGCCAGCCATGTGTGTTATTGGTCTTTGTGCTTTATGTTTAACCCTATTAAACCACTCCCATGACCCGCACGCCCCAAGCATTTGCACACCTGGCAGAAGTTACCCACTTCCCGCACATAGCCAGCCACTTCACTATCAGAATTGAAGATCTTCCAAATCTTTCTTTGTGCCATTGTGTACTCCAGGGATCTTTTCCAGTTCATGGCCATCAAGGAGCGCTCTGTCAAGGTGGCTGCCACAATGATGTCCAGTTGGCCGTTATAAAGCAGAACCTAGAATGAAATCCAGCCATTAGCAAGTCAGGATTTCAGGTGAAGCAGGGGAGCTGCATAATTTTGGGAACAGAGGGTAAGTCAGGTAAGGGAACCTGGGCCTCTGTGAGTCAGTGCTCCAAGAGGCCAGCCAGCCCAGCAGGTCAGAAGCTTCTAGGTCCTCACACACACCAACAACCTGAAGGAAACTCTGTTCTTGACTCAGTCATTGCATCCTTTCAAAAGTTTAATTCATCATAGTGATCTGCAAAAGGCCTCTCTGGGTCCCAAAAGCCCAGCAAAGAGGTTCTCTTCAACTCTGTGCCACTCTGATCTCTTCTGAGTCTCCAATTTGGCCTGAATGACAACCTTTGGTTGAGTTCTCAAACTGTGTTATTCTTCCATCTTTGCCTTCATGCTGCAGCCTTCTTAAAAGGTTTAAACACAATTAAAAAGCCCAGAATTTTCACATACTCCAAATTCATTATACAGGACAGTAGTGGGCTAGGCAATTCAGTGTGTTTGTGTGTGTGTGTGTGTGTGTGTGTGTGTGTGCGTGTGTGGTATATGGTATGTCTGGTATGTGTGTGGTATGTGTGGTGTGTGTGTGTGGTGAATATAGTGTGTATGTGTAGTGTGTGTGTGGGGGTATATGGCATGTCTGGTGTGTGTGTGTGGTATGTGGTATGTATGCTGTGTGTGTGGTGAATATAGTGTGTATGTATAGTGTGTGTGTGTGGTATATGGTATGTCTGGTGTGTGTGTGGTATGTGGTATGTGTGCTGTGTGTGTGGTGAATATAGTGTGTATGTGTAGTGTGTGTGTGCGTGTGTGTGTGGTATATGGTATGTCTGGTGTGTGTGGTATGTGGTATGTGTGGTGTGTGTGTGGTGAATATAGTATGTGTAGCGTGTGTGTGTGTGTGTGTGTGTGTGGCTTGAGTGTAGTTACACGTTAGTGGAGCCAAGGAGTACCACACTCTAGGGTTTCATTAAGACTACACTTCGTTGACTTCACATGCAGACACTGCAGGAGCCAGCAAGCTGGGCCTCTTCCCTGGTGTCACTGGCTTGCACTGGTCTGGCCTGGCCTGGCCTGCACTGCTCTGTCCCCTGGTGTGTCCTGCATTGCTCTGTCCTAGCCTGTCCTGCACTGTCCTGTCCTGCACTGTCCTGTCCGGAACTCAGTTTTGCAGGAGTTACAGCTTCTTGAAATGGAAAAATGGATGCAAGAGCCTTAAATCCGTGACTAGACTCCTGTCACAGCACTTCCAAGACTTCTTTAAGATGATGGCTATTTGTCCAGAGTAAAGTCCTTTCTTCCCAGAATAAAATTTTCCCTCCCACATGAATGACTACTATAGGGGAATGAATGCCAGGGCAATTCCTTTTTCTCCCAAAACAACTTAAAATTTACATAAAACATCAAAAATATTGATACTCTTTGCTTCCAGTAACCCCAATTTGCAGGTTGCATTCTATAAAAAGAAAGAATAAAATTTATGTACCTCGGTTCATGAAATCTAACTCTAACTAAGAACTTAATAAAATAAACAATCAGATGAGTCATTAATTGTACAGTGGCCCAGGAATTCTATGGGCTATTGTACAATCATTTAAGTATTTAACTGAGCCATGGTGTGAGGTGAGATACGCCGCCATATATATAAGTTTGAAAGCTGAGTCAAATATAAGCTATATCATAATTACCTCTCTCAATACATTTACACATTCATATACGTAGGATGAAAAGTTTGAACAAAATTAATGGAGTTCATTGATTTACATGGTGGAAATTTGAGCTATTCCCTCTTTGTTTGCTATTCTCAGACTTTTTCATGGAACTAACATGACAGTAATTATCATAAAGTATTGCCGCTTTACCTAATAAAAAAAGGTTTTCTTGGACTCTGAGCAACCTTTGATCTCCTCCCAGGCTCTGATTTGGCCCAAATTGAGACCTCGGGTTCAATCCTCAAACTGGATATCAAATGTTTTGCTGCATATGTCTCCATCTCTGCCTTCATGGCCGGGCTCTTAAAAGGCTTAAACATAATTAAAAAGCCCAGGACTTTGACACACTCCAAATCCTCAAACAGAGGCGGGACAGGATTCGGGTTAAGATGAAAGAGCTCTGGGCCTCCACTGCAGGAACACGCATCCTTTCAAGTTGCTCAGCCACCGCTGCCACCCCCTCTCCTACATAGACGCCCAAAGGAAAAGTCCTTGATAGATTTAAGACCTTTTTAAAAAGATTTGGCTCAAATGAGTAATAAAATATTTGCATTGTTTATACAAAAAAATGGCCTCAAAGGCCTTGAGTGCTTATGGCCTGCGCAAAGTCTCCTACAGCTGTTTTGGCCAGCAGTATGGAAACAATTATGATGATGGGTACCAGTGAACAAGACTGAACTGCTTCACCATCCTAGAAAGGCCTTATCACGGCTGATTAGCAAAGATAATCATGTAAAAAGTCATTCTCTTTCTAGAGTTCAAGGAAAAGATGCTGATTAATTAGCAGTTCACCATATTAACTATATATTTGGGCTCTCCATGGCCATTATGTGAACTTGCATCTTCTAGAAGCACCCCTTATAGCTACCTTTATTACCATTAATGTTATTTTATAAGTTATGTCAGGTGTTTTTTTTTCTTTTTTCATTCTTAAGGGAGAATAACAAAAGTCACAGGTTACAATAATAAAAGCGGGTTTACATGTGCAGTATTACAGGACATGTTTATCAACTGAACTGAATCCAAGCTCATCTCTGAGCTGTTTCCGTTATTCCAGACTCTTCACAAACAAGAGCTGCAACTCCTACAGCAAGACAGAAAAGAACTAAATTAAACAATCCTTTGTGCGTGTGGGGTAATGTAAAAGACACACTCCTGGGGCAATGGGAATCCTCTTTTTGCAAAGCAAGATAGGCTTTTTAATTTCTAAAAGGCATATAAATCAAATGCAGCAAAATAGAAATCATATTAATGACTACAGCAGCTGATCTTCGATACAAACTCAGCTGGATCAGGAGGGGTCTAAAACTCTGGTTGTGTCTATGAGGGTGTTTCCAGAGATGATTGGCATATGTGTCAATGAACTGAAAGAGAAAGACCTGCCGTGAACACAAATGGCATCATCCAACAGGTGGCAGCCTACATGAACACAAGAGCAGGACTAGGGGAAGCTTCAGAACCACATGCTCCATCTTCTTCAGCAGGTACAGATTTTGCTACTGCCATCACTCACAGACACCAGTCCCAGACACTCCAGTCTCTCAGTGCAGAGTCACACCAGTCACTCCAGAGGGAAATGGGATAGAGGAGGTGTTTCCTGGCCTCTATTGAGCTGCATCAGTGACCTTGTGTTCTGTGGATTCCAGCTTCTTGTATAGAATTGCTACTGGTTCCTCTGACTGTCCATCCTGCAAGGACCTTAGGACTATCCAGTCTTTGAGCACATAAACTAGTGTAATAAATGTTCTCTTATAATCACAGGTACTCTATTGGTTCTGTTCCTCTGGATAGCCCTGAATAATATAATATAATAAATCAAGTGAACTGCTTTCAGAGCCGGCATTCAAGGCAGCCAGTATTCAATACAAGATTCCCAGGGCTTTTCTTTTTTATCTGAATGTCATATCTTCGCTCACAAGCCCCCATAGGAATATTCCAGCTGTGAACCACTAGGTTAGGTGGGTGATGGAGACAGCCCAGGATCCAGTACCTATGAGCTGAGAAGCCAGGTGGATATGGTCCTGAAGTCATGGTACTTGTTGACTATTCACAATGAGAGAGGCACAGAGTCTCAGGGCAGTACCTGGGCCTCACACCTCAAAGACTACCACATGTGTTCCTGGCTTCTCCCCAGTAAGGCTCTAACTCAGTTTGTCCTAGACTGTGGAATTCCCTAGGATCAGGGCTATCAGTGCTAAGAGCAGGACAGTGGGGCAAACCACCCCCAAGGTACACTGGTATTTTAAGCAACAAAGGCAAGGACATAGGGATAAATGCAGAATGCAACTCTTCCTTGTCAGCAGCGACCCAAAAACAAGGAGCAGAGAAAGGTTGCTGGTGCTACTTTGCAGCGATGAGGCAGGCAGTGCCCTGAACATCCAGGTTCCCCATTCTCCTGTCCTGTCAGCTGTGAGACCTTTGTCAAGGTACACAGACATCCTTGCGGAACTTTCTTTCAGTCCCTACAGGGCTCGCTAGCCAACTCAGTGAAACTGATCTTCATGCATCAAGACAGAAGCTCATTGCATGGAAAAATGAATCAAAACTATATTCTACTCATCTATACTATATAATTACCATGTTTAAAAAGCATTCTTCTAACTTAGGGTAAGAACACATTAAAGTACAGTTTGAAGGCAATCGATGGATGTTTGATTTTTTTTTGTTGTTTGTTTGACTGGTGTCTAGTGTTTTGGTTAATGTGGTTTCAGTGCTTTCATAATGAAAAAGTGCCAAAGAGGCAGTAACACTAAGAGCAAGTTGGGTGCCTTGGTTTGATAAAAGACAGCAGCAGGGGAATAACATGCAAAAGTTCAAATACTTCCAGTTCTTGGGTTTTTCATAATAACAGATAAAAAAACTTTTTTGATTCTTGGATAATCCTCAAACTTCATTCCAAAACTCAGTCATTTGTTAGGGAGAGCATCAGGTATCCTGGATTATGAGCGGCTTCTCTTTTTCTGTCTGCCTTAAAAGGCAGAGGATAGGCCATCGGGGTGACTTGGCTGGTAAAGGACTTGTTACCAAGCTTGAGTCAACTAAGTTCCACTGGACAAAGAGAATCTCCAGGCAGGTATGTGTGTGTGTGTGTGTGTGTGTGTGTGTTCAAGTGTGTATAGGTACATATGGAGGCCAGAAAACAGCCCTGAATGTCATTCTTCAGGCACACTGTCACCTTTATTTTCTTTTTATTAAGACAAGATCTCTCACTAGCCACTTGCTAGGCTGGCTGATGATTAAGCTCCAGGGATCCACCTAATTCCACCTCCCTGGTGTTGGGGTGATTAT